GTGCAGCTTTCACCGGTTGTGGAAGACTGTCAAATTGTTCCAAATTTGATGTAGATATTCAAAGTGGCAAATTGTTTTTTTTTTACCTTTTTTGCAAAGAACACAACCACCAGAACCATCATCAAACGCCAAAATTTATGTGTAAGCAGAAGAATTAAAGCTCCTCTGTGCGTGACAGTGATAGTTCACAACTAATACCCCGCCTCTGTAGCATCCAACTTTTGCTACAAAGATGAGTTTCTACTTGATCTGAACGCCTGTCATGTCTCCCTCTAGCATTAGTTTTACCCAGTGGAATGTATCAATGGACATTTGTCAACGGTAGTCAGCATAGTAGTTAAACACTGGAAGCCTTTTAATGGAAGAATTGGGCTAATTGGAAGAAACTTATGTAAAAGTCTCCAAAGGACTGCATTTGTAGTTTTTGTTTGTGTGGGTCCACTCTACCCTACATGATATGTTGATATCGCCTTTAAGTTAACTCACCCATTCCAGTAGATCGTCGCATCCATTTCCAGCGCATTGTGATTTACCATGGTGTCAGATCAGGTCCCTCATGTGACTGATTCATTTGTCTGTACTTCAAATCATTTGCAGGACACAAACGCTTACGTTGGCGCTGTTTCCAGGTGGGTAATTGTGTTTGGCAGTGGTACAATTGCTTTGTCCTCACAAAGTGTTTTGATAGGTCATCGTGGGTCAGTACACCTGAAATTGCCCCATATTTTAATGTGTGGTAGATCACGTGGGTTGTCAAACCCAACTCACTGTTTCGTATTTTCTTAAAAAAGGAAAAGTTTTTGGGTAGATTGCTGTAAAGTGAATAAGTTTGTGCCTGGGATTGAGAACTTGGCTCGACTTCAGGTTGGGGATTCAGTAGATCACAAGGTAGGAGTGAACATTTGAGAGGCGAAAACGAAGGTAGTTTGAAGAAGGAAACCTCCACTGGATACTTTGTGGAGTAGTGTATATGCCGTCGGTTTGCGATGTAACAGTTCTTCCCTGAATGCTACTGGTACGATGCATTGCCTGTTATTGGTTGCGAAAAGGGAATTGCTCCCAGAAGACCGAGCAGCTCGGAATGTGTTAGTAGTGTCTGAGAGGCCTGAGAGGTTGTAGACTTGGCTGGAAGGCCATCCAGTGGAAATGGTGTTGCAAACTGCTGAAACGGAAGGAACGACGTGGTTGAATAGGTTGGTAAAATAAATAAAGCCTTATTACGTTATTACTTATTACATGTAAGCCCAACGCGTTGGTTGACTGTGAGTGGTGGAAGGCTCTGTCCAATCATTGTGTGGGCATTGCAGATGATTAAGAAGTACACAGAAGTGGAGGTGACCATCCTTGTGGCGGCGTTGCGCCCTCGCCTTCGTGAGATGTTCGCCAACTCAGGAGTATTCTCGCTGTTGTCGGAGGAGAATTTCTTTGTCAGTGTGCACGATGCGGTGCTCGTCGCTCTTGCTGAGCTGCATTCGACCACTACGGTGGCGGCTGCTGCGGAGGATGGAATGGGGGGAGCGGTGGCGCTCCGACGTCGTCTCACTATCGATGAGGTGCGCAGTATCCTTGTGCAGCTTTCACCGGTTGTGGAAGACTGTCAAATTGTTCCAAATTTGATGTAGATATTCAAAGTGGCAAATTGTTTTTTTTTTACCTTTTTTGCAAAGAACACAACCACCAGAACCATCATCAAACGCCAAAATTTATGTGTAAGCAGAAGAATTAAAGCTCCTCTGTGCGTGACAGTGATAGTTCACAACTAATACCCCGCCTCTGTAGCATCCAACTTTTGCTACAAAGATGAGTTTCTACTTGATCTGAACGCCTGTCATGTCTCCCTCTAGCATTAGTTTTACCCAGTGGAATGTATCAATGGACATTTGTCAACGGTAGTCAGCATAGTAGTTAAACACTGGAAGCCTTTTAATGGAAGAATTGGGCTAATTGGAAGAAACTTATGTAAAAGTCTCCAAAGGACTGCATTTGTAGTTTTTGTTTGTGTGGGTCCACTCTACCCTACATGATATGTTGATATCGCCTTTAAGTTAACTCACCCATTCCAGTAGATCGTCGCATCCATTTCCAGCGCATTGTGATTTACCATGGTGTCAGATCAGGTCCCTCATGTGACTGATTCATTTGTCTGTACTTCAAATCATTTGCAGGACACAAACGCTTACGTTGGCGCTGTTTCCAGGTGGGTAATTGTGTTTGGCAGTGGTACAATTGCTTTGTCCTCACAAAGTGTTTTGATAGGTCATCGTGGGTCAGTACACCTGAAATTGCCCCATATTTTAATGTGTGGTAGATCACGTGGGTTGTCAAACCCAACTCACTGTTTCGTATTTTCTTAAAAAAGGAAAAGTTTTTGGGTAGATTGCTGTAAAGTGAATAAGTTTGTGCCTGGGATTGAGAACTTGGCTCGACTTCAGGTTGGGGATTCAGTAGATCACAAGGTAGGAGTGAACATTTGAGAGGCGAAAACGAAGGTAGTTTGAAGAAGGAAACCTCCACTGGATACTTTGTGGAGTAGTGTATATGCCGTCGGTTTGCGATGTAACAGTTCTTCCCTGAATGCTACTGGTACGATGCATTGCCTGTTATTGGTTGCGAAAAGGGAATTGCTCCCAGAAGACCGAGCAGCTCGGAATGTGTTAGTAGTGTCTGAGAGGCCTGAGAGGTTGTAGACTTGGCTGGAAGGCCATCCAGTGGAAATGGTGTTGCAAACTGCTGAAACGGAAGGAACGACGTGGTTGAATAGGTTGGTAAAATAAATAAAGCCTTATTACGTTATTACTTATTACATGTAAGCCCAACGCGTTGGTTGACTGTGAGTGGTGGAAGGCTCTGTCCAATCATTGTGTGGGCATTGCAGATGATTAAGAAGTACACAGAAGTGGAGGTGACCATCCTTGTGGCGGCGTTGCGCCCTCGCCTTCGTGAGATGTTCGCCAACTCAGGAGTATTCTCGCTGTTGTCGGAGGAGAATTTCTTTGTCAGTGTGCACGATGCGGTGCTCGTCGCTCTTGCTGAGCTGCATTCGACCACTACGGTGGCGGCTGCTGCGGAGGATGGAATGGGGGGAGCGGTGGCGCTCCGACGTCGTCTCACTATCGATGAGGTGCGCAGTATCCTTGAAACGGATCCCGACGTCACCACCGATTTGTCGGTAATGGGAGAGGAACGCGCAGTCGTTTTCTGATGTTCTACCTCCTTTCCTGCCCTGTCCCGCCCTCCCTTGCTTTATCTACATACTCTCTCATCTT